TGAGGAAAAATTTCTTTACTGAAAGAGTGGTTAAACATTGGACCAGGCTGCCCAGGGAAGTGGTTGAGTCCCCATCCCTGGAGGTGTTTAAAGGACGAGTAGATGAGGCACTTAGGGACATGGTTTAGTGGGCATGGTGGTGTTGGGTTGACGGTTGGACTCGATGATCTTAGAGGTCTTTTCCAACCTCAATGATTCTATGATTCTATGATTCTAATACAGGAAGAGAAATGTACATGTGCATGATGATGCACATGTTGGGGGTCTTATAAGCTCAGCAGATCTCAGACAGGAAGACCATGTGGAATTTCATATCACTCTTCTGCTTTCTCAATCATCTCTGCATCTCTCTGCAACTGAGATCAGATGTAGCACTGAGTTCAGTGCTTTTCTAAATGGAAATAGTTTTATTCTTTATTGTGCTTTCTTAAATGGTTTGGTGCTTCTGATAAATCTTTATTCTTTCTCATTTTTGGACTTACTTAAGGAGTACAATGTAATGGGAGAGGAGCTCACCGCACTTACATTGTGCCAAGATCTGTGCAGAGAGTTTTTCTTAAGTAATTTTAAATCCTTAGAGAGAAAATATAGTACATACACAGAATTTTACTGCTTAACTGTACTTTTTGCTTCTAATCCAGGCACAAGAGAAGATGTTAAATTGCAGTGAGTGTCTTTCACATTTAACTACAAAGGCCAGATATTCTCCGTCTTTGATTCATTGTCTGCAAACCTACCATCAGGAAGGTACAAAGTTTTCTGCAGAAAACTTTATAAAAATGAATAAGATGGTTTTGGCTCTGGGTAGCAAAAAAGAACTAAAACAACGGCATATTTTGAGGCTGAAATGTCAGCAAACAAAGCACCATTTAGCAAAATTCTTTTCTGCAACCCTCAAAGATTCCAGTAGGGAATATTTTCATAAAGTCCTCAAGGAACCTTTTATGAAGATCAGTGATGAGTTTGATGTTGAAGGTGTGAAGCTGCTAAGCCAGGCCCCTAATCACTCCTCTTCTAGCAACGATGACAATATTTGGGTGGACAAAACTAAGCCTGTATATAATACTTGGCCATTGTACCATCTTTTTTGGACCGTAGGACTGTGAAGCAAAATATGGAGGTAGCTGTGGAAATATCTGCATCTCCACTACAGTTGCTTGCTCCACTTGGACTTGAAAATGTGGGTGGATGCAAAGAAAAACTGGAATTCAAAGCACACAAACAGTGTTTGCACCTCACACTCAGCTTCATTCTATTCTGAGCCAATCCACTCAGCATCTACCTATCACAGGAACCAACCACTAAAAAAGGTTATGAAGAAAAGGCAAAGCTTTGAATTTAGCCAGCATGGAAGCAGCAACAGTGAATTTTACCAACATAGATACACAGGAGTTTATATCAAAGGACTCAAAGTTGCCAGTAATAACACCAACGAGAAAAAATACATGTAGTGTTTGAATATTAGAAGTTCTTTGGTAAGTAGAGACTGAATTTTATCCTCTCCCTCAAGGATCCATCATACAGAAGAAGAGGCAAAGACTGGAGGTGGAAGGTGAGAAATTATTACACCATAATCTCTTAAGTGAGGAGCAAAAAGAAAATGCTTTTTGAAAAGTAAAGCTCAAAAGATGACAGAAATGGCAGTGACCTTAGTTCTAAAGGAATGTTTTTGTGTCATTTTAGATTAGTTGAGGGAACAATGGAGGTAGCAAGGATTTTCCTTTTTTTTCTTTTTTTTTTTTTTTTACTCGGGGAAAATTCTCGTTGAAATTGAGTGAACTGAGTAGAAAAGTACTGTAGGCTTACAAACATGCTTTAATTTTTACTCCTTGGAAGTAGTCTCATAATTTACATTGAACCTTTTTTATGCCCAAAGATAAAGAATCATAGCACTCTGCAGGCTAGTGATCATAGCAGAGTATAAATAGAGATGTTCTGTTTTTTTTCCAATATTCCTGTGTCTAACTTTTCTGGAGCTTAGCATTCTTTTGCAACAGGAGAAAACTTAGCTCTTGGGCTGGTACACAAAAGCTGGATATTGAAATTGCTGGAAAACTTAAATGACATTTGTAGCTTTGATATATTTCTTCAGCTGAATCAAGTGTCTGAAGTAAGCAAAAGGTCTGCTAAAAATTACAAAATTGAAGTTACAAAGTAACTTCTTCGTAATTTATTCATGCATAAAGCAGCAAAAATAAAGATTGGCTCTATTTATTTTTGTGGGTGGGATTTTGAGTGTGTTCTGCAATTAAATGTTCATTTAAAAGAATCTATTGATGCCATTTACTAAAGAACCTTAGGTTAAAGCAAAATATTTAGGAAATCTAAGTAATATAATGTACAAGGAGGGGCATAAATAGAATTGGCAGTTTCTGAAGTACTCTCCTGACTCCTCAGTCCCTCCTGTCTGCTAACAGACATTATTATAGGGTATTTTTTATTTTTTGGAGTAAAGACCATCCATTTCTGAGATGATGTAGCTTGGTAGGTTGACCAACTTACCAATGACATCTCTGAAGATGAAAGATTAAGTCAATATTAATAAACAAAATTATGCGTATCTCTATACAGTCTGACACCAAAATGAAAGGTCTTAAAAATATAGTTCTTCTGTCTTCCTTCAAAACATTTTTCAGTTAATCCTTATTAATTAGTAATTCAGGACCAGAATCAAGTTCCTTGTTTCATATAGGCTATTCCAAAGGGGAATAATCTCCTTGAAGTTGAATTCATTATCACTTTGGTGTTCTTTATTGAGCAAGTTTACTCATTATGTCTGTAACAGTATCTGAACTGTGGTTTATTTTATTTATAGTCATTGTCTGCTATAATTTTCCAGGACTGTAGTTCAGCAAACTATCAACAAGTCAACCTATTTTTAAATTTAATCAAATCCTGAGGTAACTCTAATGATCTTAGAGTTTAGCACATGCTTAGCAGTTTTGCTGAATGGTATTACAATGTTTTCTATGTTGTGGCCTCTGTGCTTCTGGAAGACATAAATTAACTTTAGTTATTGCAGGAATGGATGTCTTTAATGATGTTTTTTCTATATAAGTAGGTGTTTTAGAAGAAGTTGATCTGTTTTTTTGTTTTTCTTTTACTTTAATAGATCAATACATGCTACTTTTAATAATGATGAAACAGTATTTTCACTTAAAAACCATGAATCTTCCTTTTTTTGTAATTACTTTAATTGTATCCTTTTTTTATAGTGAAAAGTGTTATTTTACTTTACTCTCATGCAAAATAATTTTTAAGATGGATCCAGTTTTCATGTTAAAAACTCTTAGGAAGCAGATTAACCCCATTTTGATCCTCCAAAATTTTCTGATTGTTGGGCATGGAATTTTGTTTTTGGTATTTTCCTGAGGTATAAAAATAAAAGTCGGATTCAAACTTAGAAGTTCTGAGTAAATTATCAGATTAATTTATAGAGTGTTTCTTCCACTGAACAAGAAATACCAATCAGACAGATAGTTGACCTAAGACTTAGATTAAAGAATGAAATACATTAACTGTATAAATATGTGTGTCTTTGCTTGCTGATATGTCACAACCACATCTTAAAACAATAGTAAATACTCTGTATTTGTAATTGGAGGTTTACTGAGCAGCAGTATTTGTTATAATGAATATTCTTGTAGGTTTTTTAATTCTATTTGTTATTGTTAAGATTAAATTATGTTTAAATTATGTTCCCAAAAATGTTTTATTTAAGGTGTTATATGTTTAAATCATTGAAGACTTGTTATTATGAGGAAAGAAGAAACTATACAAAAATACTGAAATAATTTTTCTCTGCTTTGTATAACCAGGACTTAGAACAGTTTCGATTCCCAGGAAATGAAATCCTCCGTGCTAAAGACAGTTTATTTTAATTTCTTTCTATTTCTTAGCTTCATTTTCCAAGGAAAATTACGTATTCTCTGTGAAATGTGGTTTGTTTTAGTCTTGTTAAGTATCTGGTACACTAAAAATCACACCATTCTTTCCACCACCATCCTTCATTTTGCTTGGTTCTTAGCTTTTTTCTGCACACTCTTTAGCCAAGAATTTTTTTTCCTGAAAGTGTTGTCTCTTTGTTTGAGAAAGATCACACACTTTAATAACATCTTTCTCAGTGTCAGATGATACGTCGGTTAGGGAAAATCATGAAAATTTGACTGCATGTTAGTTTACCATCCCTGAAATTTAGTTCTGTTTCCAATTTTAAATGCAAGAATGAAAGAAATTCACTTTTGTGTACACAGTAATGGAGTCTT